ATAATCCTCAAGGCATTATTAAAAACTTGCATTCTGAACTCACACCCTGTATTTATACTCACTATCAAAACAGATCATTATATTCAGAAATGGAACAATACTATTATGTAGCCTTATACAATGTCCAAGGTGGAAAAAAATTCCTTAAATATATTTACCTATTTTAAAATGAACAGACTCTAGAGCAGTGACTCTCAAAATGTGGATCACAAACCCTTTAGGTCAAACAACCCTTTCATAGGGGTCTCCCAAAACCATTGGAAAACACAGATATTTCCATTATGATTCACAATAGTGGCAAAATTAAAATTAGAAGTAGCAACAAAAATAAATTTATGGTTGAAGGTGCATTAGGAAGGTTGAGAACCACTGCTCTAGACTTTGTCTCAACTTTCAAGTTAGACATACAGTACTCACAAATTCCATTCAAAGGCAAAAGGGTATAATAAAAGAATCTGTAGCAGATAAAACAGCACTTCTGCCCAAGCCTGTCAACCTGAGTTTGGTCCCTGGAACCCATGGTGGAAGAAGGAATCCAACTCCCAAAAGTCTTCTCCATACCACAATGGGACCTCAGACACAATATATAGCATATATACATACATACACACGCACGCACGCGCGCGCGCACACACACACACACATCAAAATAAAATTTGTAAAGGGGGAAAAATCTGTGACATAAAATTCTGAAATCTTGGATTTAAATCAATTCAGCCCTTAATAGGCTAGTTATATCTGTCACTTTACTCCTGTCATAATGCTTAAGTAAAATCTTAAATGTTAACATTCCCTATAAATACTAAATCTGTGATCATAAAATGCAGATTATATCCTTGTTTTTCAGAACAAAATAAAGTTCTGGAGATGTGACATCTCTTCCCCTGGTGAGTATCTTTACCTCAAAAAGAGGTATTGGTTCTCAGCCAGGCAGTGGTGGCACACATCTTTAATCCCAGCACTAGGGAGGCAGGTGGTATAGATATGAATACTTTGTTTTGGAATGTATTTTCATTTATTGATACAATTTAAGGTCAATTTTGTGATATGTATATTTCTCCTTTTGTTTAGGTATTGTTTTTATATTGCTCATTTAGAAATGTAATGTATAATTCAATACAGATTATAGATAGTATCTATGATAGTCAGATATTATAGTTAGTTAAGATTTCTAGATATACAGACATGTATTTGAGATGGATAGGCATTCTTCAAACCTTTCAAAGACCTACAGAATATGGCATTTAAAATGGTTTAGGGTTTTTTTTGACAGTGAGACATAAATGTTCCTGGCAACACCACCTGCACCAGAAAGAAAGATGGAAGATGGACACTGAAGAAACATGTTATAAAGTTACTTCCAATATGGCAAGACTAGCCATTTGGACAAGGTACTGCTCTTGTCTGGACTGTTTGACTTTATGCTGTATAAACTGGACATACAGGACCCACAAAAACCGTGACTGCTGATTCAAGATGGACATTGCTACAGAGTTCCTGCTTCATGGAAGAGTCTACAGGACACAGAGAAAAGTGACTAACAAACTGCCAATACAAGAAGACAGTTTAAAGTTTCCTGCTTTGCTGAAGAGTCTGCCAGACACACTATGGCCTATGGGCTGAAGATGGAAGATTACAGAAGAACTTCGGGTGACTAACAAGGCAAGATGTCTCTGTCATTTCTAGAGTTTATATATTATCCTTCTGTGGTCTTTAAAGGAGTTGAAGACGGATAGTTATGGTTATAGTTTTCCTTAGTTAGGATTAAAGATAAGTTACTTTAGACACACAAAGGTAGGATAGATAATGGAATATTTCTTCATATCTTACTAAATGTTAATGGACTAAATATTGTTAACTGTGATTCTTATTTGATAACTGTTGTGTGATATATTTTGTTATGTTAAGGTTAAAACCCTTCTTTTTATTTAGACAGAAAAGAGGAGATGATGGGAGATGTCATTCTGTATATATGTTTCTCATACTGGTTAATGAATAAAGCACTGTTGGCCAATAGGAAAGCAAGATAGGAGGGACTAGGAGATGAGGAGGAAAGAGGAAGTAGTAAGGAGTCAGCATGGAGAGACCAGGGAGACCAGACGCCTGCCCCACTCCCCAGTAGGTGAAACCACGTGGAAATACATAGAAATGGGTTAATACTTAAGACAGAGCTAGCCGATAAGAAAAAAGTACCTGGCCAACAGAACTGTATCTAATACAGGGTCTCTGTGTGTTAATTGGGGCTGACAGCCCGGTGGCTGGAAAAACCTTACACCTTACAGGGTTACACTGTGAAAACTGTCTTGAAAGAAAAACATTAATTACTATTAGATTTCAAAAGCCTTACAAATGTGAAAACACAATGAAACAACTTCATACAGGGTGGTGGAGGGGAGACTTTTACAATGGGGGCCCATTCCCTCACAGACATCAGGAGCTCTTTCTTACAGTACTCCAGATTGGATGGAAAGTATGTTTTCTTCCTTGCTGTAGGGTTACAAATTACCAAACAGGAACAGAAATGTGTGTTCCAACTTAGTCACAAAATTCAAAGCTAGGGCCAGTGAGATGGCTCAGTGGACTAAGGCACCTGCCACTAAGCCAAATGAGCTGAGTTCAATCCCCAAACCCCACAGGGTAGAGGAAAACAACAGACTCCACCAAAATGTTCTATGACCTCCACGTGCATGTCATAGCATGGGTACACCCACCCATGCCCCACTCAAGTAAGTAAAAATAAATGTTTAATTTTAAAAAGAGTCAAAGCTGAACTCAAAATATTTTCTTACAGAAACAATGGTAATAGTTAAACTTTCAAGCTAGTCCTTAAAGCAATTAAACAATGGAACAAATGGAAAATCATTTGTATTGACTTTTTTTCTCATTTTTAAGCATAATATTGAAGATACCTTAAAGATTAAATTAGATTTTAAGAAAATGCCTAGAAGTGCAGCCCTTAGCATGTTTATGGAGGGGAAAATGTCCTGAGTTTTAAACAATTTAAACAAAAACTTTAGACCATAACTGAGGAAGAGACAGTTGAAAAAAAAAAAAACTGTGGGAAGAATACCAAGTAATTGCCTTTCTTTCTTTCTTTTTTTTTTTTTTTAAGAAGAAAAAGCATCACAATCATACCAAACCACAGCTGCAAAGAAACTGTTTTCAGAATGACAACAAGCATCAGACCTACCCTGTGCCCAATGTTGTGCCCCTCTACAGGGAATAGCAATTTTTCTAAAGCTAAGCACACAGTCTGAAGAATTCAAGAATCTCCTTCCATCCTTTGTCTTGGTAAATCATACATCAAATACTAGTACTGTAAAAGATTCACATACGCCTGTCCTGATTGGTTTGAATAGCCAGTCTCACGCTTAGCATTTATTATCAGAGTGTTAGCACTCTCTAAGTACTAATGGGGGGATCAACATTTACTACCTACTTAGTGTGTAGTTATCTGGTTTTCCTATAAGATATGTAAACATGGACCCTCATTTACACATTAAGAAGATGATTTAAGTAAAAGCACCAGTAAAAAGAAGTTAGCACTCTGAACTCCATTATCTTGCACTACTTGGGAGTCGTCACACACACACACACACACACACACACACACACACACACACACCAAAAGAAATTAATCTGGTTCCACTGGACAGCTGACCACTTTCACAATGATTGTTTGGTATTCTAAATAAGTGGTTCTGACAGCAAGTTATGAAGAAGAAAAACCATCAAACCCTCATTTCATAGATCAACTTAGTAGTATTCAAGCAATGCTTTCAATAGCAAAGGTAAAAGAGTCCCTAGGGGTGGACACCAGCATGAGCATCGTCATTTCCCAAATCTGTTTCAACAGACTCTAGGACCAGGAGTCTTTTTCACCAGCTCCACTGCAACACACATAATTACAAACTTCCGGATGTTACTTTTCAGGACAAGACAGAGGGCTTCTCTGACACAAATCCTATTTTGACACACCTCGCCTGATGGCATTCCAAAACAATTGTTACCACTTCAGTTTACAAAGTTACTTTGTAATGAATTATGAACAAATTACTGATAGATAGAATTGTTGCAATAGTGGAAATAATTATTTGTCTTTAAGCAATATAGTTCCTATAAGGTTTCTAAAAATTTTCCATTACAAGCTAAGAAAGAAAAACACTGCACACTCAACAATGTAAATATTTCTAAGTAAATCCAAATTGTAATCCCAATTTACAATAATGTAAAGTGGCTAAACACTCCTGACATGTAATGACCACGAAATACTAACACTGTAAAAGTAAAACACTTGGTCCCTGAAATAACTGAATATTCATTTTAAAGAAACAGAATGTTAAAAGAAAACGTTAGCCTCTGGAGTTTCACATAACACTTAAAAAGAAACTAAAGAATAACGTCCTCATTAGAAAATATTTCTTAACAAAACCATGTCAACAAAATACACTCAACTTTAACAATGATGTATGTCCAAAACACCTCCCACGATAGTAGGGTAACTATTTCTAATAACCTAAAGCAAAACAAATATCTGCAGCATTTTGAACTGAGAAAATGATGTCAACGATTTTCATCCTTTATTGTAAGGTTCCAATCGGAAAATAAACCGCCATCGGGCTCATTAACTTCTGTGCAGAAACTCATTAAAATCGAGCTTTTGACTGCTGGGGGGGGGGAGCAGATCCTCAGAACGTGTCTTCTTAGGTAAACTGTCCTGCGCCCCACACCACAAACCTCCTCCCGCAACTGCCCCGGCCTTGCGGCCCCTCCCGCGCGCGGGCCGCACCTGCCGAGGCCGCCCCGGCAGCGCCCCCTGCCGCCCTCCCGCACCCAGAGCCCCGAGCCCATCCCCGCGCCCCGTAGCGCACCCGCCCCGCGCCGAGGCCGCACAGTCTGCGGGCAGGGGCGGAGGAGCCGGGGCAGCGATCGAGGCGGGGCCGGGCACCCGGGCACGTGCCCCCGGGTCCCCGCCGCTGTCAGGCCCGAGCCTCACCTACCTACGCCGTATTTCTCCTCCTCCGTGGGGGTCCACATGGCCGGGCCGGGCGCAGCCCCGCAGGCGCGGCGGCCGGGTGACAGCGCGGAGGGGACGACCGCAGGGGCGGCCGCGGGCCCGGCTGTGGCGCACCGCGAGGCAAGGCGGGGGCGGTCAGGCGGCGCGGGGCAGTAGGCGGCGCATCCCTCACAGGCCGTCCGGGATGCCACCGCCACCGCCGGCTGCCACGTCCTGACCAGCGAGACTCGGCGGACGGCCGAGCGGCCCCAGACGAGGCGGCCGAGGGCTCACCACCTGTCCGGCGCCGCCGTCCCTGCGCCGCCGCTCGGCTCCTCGCAGCTCCGTCGCTGGCCGCCCGGCGCCGCCGCGGCTCGGCTTGCCTCAGCGGGCTCGCGGGACACCCGCGCATGCGCCGCTCCCCGGCGCGCGGGGGCTCGCAATACCCGGGCTCGCGCCGCCCGAGCCCGCGCGCGAATCCACGAGATGCCGCTGCGGTCCGGCGGAGGGAAATGGGCGAGAGGCTATTGGATGGCCCGGCCAGGGAGGCCAGGTCCCTCCGCCCACCCAGAGCCTTTGGCCGCAGCTAGCGCCCAGGGAGCTCGTGGTCCTGCGTGTGGAAGGCCACCGTGTCACCCGCCAGCCGTACCGAGATGGCCGCTGGCCCTGTGGTCCGAGACAGGAGAGCCAGTAAAAAGAACAGGGGGGGAGGGCATCGTCATTAAACTCATATCATTGTCACTGTGCTGTCGCAGACACATCCTCTGAAAGGTCCTCTTCTGCCACCCTGGGTGGCCGGCAGAGTGGGATCGCCTCAAAGGAACCAAGGGAAGCGCAGGCACGGGTTCCTGGGCCCCTAGGGTGCTGTATCTAGGCCAAGGCCTCTACATCCCCTGAGTTCTTTTGTTGAGTTGGCTGCTGTGCTGAGTGTGTGGGGCCTGAACAAGCTTAGCAGCCTTTCTAGTAAAGGAAGCCCTTTCTCTCAGAACTCTATGTAGTTGTGCACACCGGAGACCTATGCCACAGCCTCTGATGGCTACCAGCATCACCTAGCATATAGCCAGATCAGCGCTCGTCACAGCACTGGAAGTTCAAAATCTTGGTGTCGTTCCTCGATATCACTCTTGGATGACCTGTCTTCAAAAATCATCTCAGTTAACTCTCTTCCAGAAAGCCTAAACTAGTACTACAGTCAACACAATGACATCTTTCCTCTCTTTTGTTTTAAAGGGTGTGTGTGTGTGTGTGTGTGTGTGTGTGTGTGTGTGTGTGTGTGTGAAAATAATGTCCTCTGGAAGAACAGTGCCCTAAAGCCAAAACCATTTCTCCAGCCTCCTCCTTACATCTTTTGTCTGGGATTTCAGGTATTCATTTTTATCTAACAACCCTAGCCTTTCTCCTGTAGGACCTCAGCTTATTGGCTTGTAGGCAAGCTTTAAGCTAAAGTCATCTTTCTGGCCTCTCAACTCAGCATTTAGTGCATGGCCATTAATTGAGGAGCAAGGCTAGAATAAGAATATTCTGGTGTAACTGGCATGGTGGCACTCACCTGTAATTATAACACTCTGAAAACGAGGCAGAAGAATCCTGTTTGAGACCAGTCTAGGCTATATACAGAGACCTTGCTTTTGGTTTCTTTTTTTAATTTAAAAGTAAGTATCTTAGTAATTGTCAGGTCTTGTTGATTACTTCTTCAAAGTGCCCTGGCTGTCCTCATCGACACCTGGATTATTGCCACTGCCTCCTGATCTATGGACTCTTCCTTTCACCAATAAAGGCTGCCTGTCACTCCTGCCCAGAATGTCTATTGAATTTCTCAATAACCAGATACACTTTGAGAGTAAAAGGTTGATCAGGAACCAAAAGAAAAACAACAGAGATGCCCTTATTTATTCAGCTAGCTCTTCCAGGATTATAGACCCCAGAACGATGTCAGTGATGGAGGGCATTCCAGAATGGAGCCACGTTCCCACAAACCTCTCTCAGAGAACTCAGACCAAGTAGTGGGTTCCGGCAACACAGGTCTTCTGAAGACCCATGAAGCTCTTACTTCCCATGCCCTTGACTGATGTACATAATGACAGTTGCAGAGCCTAAGGTCCATTTTCCCCAAAGTTTACTCCCATTTCCAAAGAAAGAAAACCCACCCTACTGCTGCACATCTCAGCTCTGGGGTCAGAGATCACTAATTGCAACTGGTGAAAGGGAAAGGAAAAGGGCCAAGGAGAAGAAATAGGATACTTGGTTCCGTCCTGAGCTCCTTTACTCTTGCTGTTCGCACTAAATTTAGATTGTTTTTCTTGAAATGAAGCAAAAGGACGCAGCGTACAGTGTGGAGAAGCAGACCTCATCTGGTCGGAGCCTTCCCTTCCTCTGGTTCTCAGTGCACTTGACAACCCCTACACACAACCCTCTCAGGCATAAGCTGATTTGCAGCTTGTATCTGAAATGCAGACTCCTCACTGACCTCCCCTCCTCTTTCTCGTTTTCTTGCATTCCCGCCAGTACCCAACCTCTTGCTTTTTCATTGGAAGCCTCTGTCTCCTTTTTCACCCTGCCTTGCTCCACAGGCTCCTACTGCCCCAGGAAAACCATCTTGCCAGTAGCCTCACCCATCCTCAACCACTCGTTCCTCCCCCTCTTTCCACCCAACTTCAGGAGAGAGCTGTTTACTCCAGGTCCTTTTATGCCAGTGCAATGTATTTCATTCTCAGCCCCTCCAGATCTGGTTTCTAACTTTACCACCTAAAACTGTTCTCCCGGAATTTCTCCAGAGCTATCCTAATGCCAAACGCTGGCATCTACCATCTCTTGATCTGATGGGATTTTTGTGAACACTATCCCTCAGCCCACCACTTCCACTTGAAATCCGTGGGTCATCCTCACTCTCCAGGGCTTGCCTCAGGACCACTTTGTTCAGGAAGACTCCCAGCTACCCACATTGAGAGGAAGCTTTTCTCTACCATCAGGGCCTTTCTTCCCCGTAGCGCTTAATCTCCGATTTCACTCTAAAAGATGGAGTGTGTCTGCTTGCCAAATTGACAACCACCCATTTTATTTTTCAATGGCAAGGATTTCATTTCTTATAGCCCCACACAGAGGCCAGTACCTGACACCTATCAAGAATTCCACATGTACTCTTTTATGAATGTTCTACCTATATGTATACTGACACCATAATAAAATTAGGCTGAAAAGGCGAACTGGGATATTTTAGCAAATCACAGATCTCCCAATCATTACTCAGAATAAATTTCCCCATTATATGAGCATCAGTTTTAATTAAGAGACATCCTACTGAACAGCTATATAAAAGATAAACGTGGTAGAATAATTTAAGATACAAAGAAATCTGCAAACAGTTTAAGTTATTGTGCCACCATTACTCTTGGTTTTACCTCATTACCTTAAATGATAAATTGCAACTTGATGACTGAGGAAGGAATCAAATTTTCAGCAGGAAATCCCTTAATACTAGTGGCTATTAAAAGTAGCTATAATGAAACTGATTTCCTAAGTAATGTATAAGAAATGCAGAAAAGCATCATATTTCCTCTCAAATGAAATGAAAGTTGATCGATAATCCTTTTATCGGGAGTAAACTCCCTAAAGGCAAATCCCTCATCACCTTTGACAGATGAGACTGACCCTCTATAAAGTTCAGTCAGATTGCACTTCAAGCCCTCTTGTTTTCTTCTGCCTGAAGATTCAGACAGCACATTTAAGGAGCCAGCCAGGCTGATGACTCAGCTCATAAAACAATGTGTGGCCACAAAGATGATGTTTATCCAGGAGCATTCTGGAGGCTCTCGCTACTGAAGTCGGCAAGCTGTGGGTATGTGACACACGATGCTCATTCTCCCAGGAGTTTCTGGTAGCAGTGACAAAGTAGCACTCCCTTCCCTCTCCCAGCAGTTGCTCTCGCATGATGCTCTGCCTAAACAGAATGGTAAGAAGACTTCAGAGAGGCACATTTGGCACAGAAGCAAAGCCAAGTAGAATGCAGTGGCACCCCGCCTTCCCTTGACCAGGAGGCAGCAGCAGTCAGAGCTCCCATCCACCTACACAAAGCCCAGGAGGAAATGGAGGTGACTTACACAGTTAACCTCTGCTCTGCTGGCACCCTCAGGGTCTGAGCCTCCTCTGCTGGGTAAAATCCCAACTCACCGTTCATGTTCCTTATGGAAAGAAACTGCTAAGGTAGTGTCACTTTCCCACCACTTCTAAAATACCCCAAACTGACACCTTGTAGGAAGCCCAGGAACAAAGGGCTACACCAGCCCCACAGAGTTAGCTGCCCAAGTTAGGGTCCTTTCAGGTAAGAGACCTAAAGTGACTAAAAAAAAAAAAAAAAAAAAAAAATTATTAGCATTTTGCCTCAAGTCTTTTTGCAATGAATATCTATGCAGTGGGGAGGGAATGGGGAAGAGTGTGAAAGAGAAACAGATTAAGCACAGCAATATTTCATTATTTTTCCTAAAATGACAAACTTTAACCATCTGTTCCTATTTAATCAACCCATTCAAAATATTATTAAAATGCATATTTCTTGCAGTTAGCCAGTGTCTTCAAATGAGAGAAAAAAACAGGGTTCTTCTGGTTTCAACCCCTAAACACTGACAGAGCATTTCTGGATGGGATGTAGTCATCTAGTTCCATCATGTTGAGTACCACAAGATATGTTCAAATGTGCCAGGAATCTATAGCACGTCTTGCCTCACCCCACACTGAACTACTTGGAGATAATATGTCATTTTTTCCATCTTCGGCGCCTGACACAGAGGATGTCACACATAGTAGGCACTCAGTAGCTACTCTTTGAATGAATAAATTAGTAAAGGAGGGCTTTTTTAAAAATCTCAGAAATGTGTATCTTTGTTTCAATAACGCTTTCATTTGCTTATGGGGGGGGGGGCAAAGAAATGAGCAAAACCAGAATACAAAGGGAAATACCCCCAGAAGGAAGGGCAAGCAGATAAAACTTGGCATTGCTTAGTTCTCCTTCCTCTTGGGGGAAATAACTTTGCCCTTGAATTTCTACACTAAGTCATCAAGGAGGGATTGAAATTAAAAACCTTGGAGAGTAATTAGCAACAAAACGTTCTAATGTCAAGAAGTGAATTTTATGGGACCATATTTGTAATATTAATTGAGCCTCTGTGTAGCCAAATGGTGAAATTATTGCTCTAATACAAATAGGCCCAAAAGAGAAAAACAGCTCAAAATAGCACAGATATTGCAAATCAGGACAGAGGTAATTTCCCTATACATAAAAAGCAACCAATTGTAATGCATTCACCAACTCACTGAAGTGCAAAACAAAGCCTGTTTCCTTGATACAGCCCTACCCACCCAGCATCTGAATTGCTGTGGGACTGGGACTAAGAAGGGAACTGAGACTTTGTTCCTTTGCTGCTTTTCACATTGAAT